GTAAGATGAGATTGAAATGCTCCAAACATATAATGCAGTGATGGAGAGCTGAAGAAATAAAGGCTCCTCAGAAGATGTGAGATGTTCTGGAGGCTTGTGAAGATCATTCCTCCGCTGAGGAACAGTGAAAGTAAAGCTTCTGGAAACAAACGCTCCTCAAAAGATCCTGAGGATCAGATTTGAGACTCTAAAACATGATTGATGAAGAATCAAGTAAAGCTGAGCTGCTTCAGTCCAGTAAGTGTTCATCTGGAGATATTACTGCAGTTATTCTGACCTTTACTTGATCAAAATCAGTCAAGATTTGACACGAGATGCTCGAGCTGAAGCTGGACGTTTGTACAGTTACACTAAAAGAGCTTTGACTGGATAAAACACTCTAAACTCTCAATCAGACGACAGAAGACATGCAGGAGATCGAGTGTGAAATACTTGTTCTGTAAGGAAACACAGATAAATGTTAAGCACACTCAGCTGAAAATAACACTAAATACACCTCCTGTCTCCGCTGTCGCATTGTGCTTATTTTATTCATCTGTAATCTAAATTAAATGCTGCGCTGTCATGTATTCAGCAGGAATCCCAGCTAAATATAATTTCTCTCATCCACTTACGAGTCGCTGTGTTTGCAGAGACAGCGGCTCAAATAATCAGATTTTCTCAGCGTCTGTCTGGGGCTGTGAACACAACATACATGTTCACAAACACTCAGGAGAGAGAGAACAATAACGCAGATCCATATCATCAGGAGAGAATGACTGATTCCCATTACACAGATTACACTTTCCTCCGCCATCCATCACTCGGCCGAGGCCAATCAGAGCCGGCCCGCTGAGATGAATAAATATAAATCTGAGAACGACCTTGAGCCGCGACACCAAAATCCCTGCCAGACCCGGAGCTTAACATCATGTTCAAACATCACAACATGAGCGATCGTGTGGAAATCTGAGCTTTTGTCCTGTGCAGCGATGACCTTGATGGCATTTTGTCTTTATTTCACTTTGAAATCACACTGGCTAAAAAACCTGCTCCCCATTACTGTATATTATAAACACTGCAAAAAGTGAGTTTTCAAACTTGTAAATAAAATGATGCATGACGACTGACTGTTAGAATACAGTTATATGCCTTAAAATTCAAGAAATGAGTGCAAAAATGCCCTTGTATGGGTTTTTGTCTTATATTTATATTAGATAATATAGTTTAACAACATCGCACAAGTAAAAGTGCTGTTTTCCCGAATAACTGCATGATTGCAAACGTGATATTGATTTTATACACTAGTTCAATAAACAAGTGTCTGCAAGCGACACACAGCAGTGTTGCGTTACTCAATGAATCCTCGTTTTTGAACGAATCGAGTGAGTCAATGATTCATAAAGACAGTCACTCGCTTTGTTTCTGAATGAATCAGCCGTTTGAATGAATCAGTTGAATGAATGATTCAATGACTCACTCATTAAGACCTACTGGCGCTTTGTTACATATTTAGTGTATAATTTCTTATATATACAGTGGGGAAAAAAAGTATTTAGTCAGCCACCAATTGTGCAAGTTCTCCCACTTAAAAAGATGAGAGAGGCCTGTAATTTTCATCATAGGTATACCTCAACTATGAGAGACAAAATGAGAAAAAAAATCCAGAAAATCACATTGTAGGATTTTTAAAGAATTTATTTGCAAATTAAGGTGGAAAATAAGTATTTGGTCAATAACAAAATTTCATCTCAATACTTTGTTATAATATACCCTTTGTTGGCAATGACAGAGGTCAAACATTTTCTGTAAGTCTTCACAAGGTTTTCACACACGGTTGCTGGTATTTTGGCCCATTCCTCAAGAGCAGTAATGTTTTGGGGCTGTCGCGGGAAGCATGTGCCATCCTTTCCGACTGATCCGGATTGTGCTGCGTAAAACAGACACACACAACATACGGTCAACATGGGCAAACTGGGTTAAATGCCTGAACGTGCCTCTGAGTATATTAGAGAGAAGGACCGGAGAGGTCATCATAACACACCACAACAGAGCAGAAACACTGAAACAAACACAAATGACAAAAACAGGACAGACGCATCACGTCATAAGAGTTATAGACATATTATGAAAACAGAGTTTTTTTTAATCTTTTATTTTGTTTTATATAATATTAAATAAAACACACGATTAAACATTTTTATTTAATATTTTATAAAATATGACAAAACTATTAAATAAAACACATTATAAAATATTTTATTTAATGTTTTAGTATTTACTGTGTGTGTGTATATATATATATATATATATATATATATACACACACCTTTTTTTATAAAAACGTTAAATAAAATATTTTATTTAATAGCAGTACATATTTATTTATAAATATATAATAAAAAATTATTAGATATAAAATAAAAATATAACAATAAATACTATATATCAATAACATTTTTTTTATTTTATTTTAAATTAATATTTTAAAATAAAATTAAGAAAATAAAACATAAAATTAAATAAAATCTTTAAATATCTATCATCTATATTTAACAATTTAGTGTATATATATGCATGTTTATCATATATATATATATATATATATAGAGAGAGAGAGAGAGAGAGAGAGCTTAAATAAAATACATTATAAGCCATTTTAATTTTATAAAATAAAACTACACAATAAATAAAATACAAACAAAACTGCATTTTATATATTAAATAGTATATATAGTATATGTTTATTTTATTTTAAAATAAAATAGAAATATTTAATAAAATAAAACATTAAATAAAATATAAAATAAAAATACAATATTAAATAAAATACCACAACAGCTCCGCTACATAAGCTTCACCTTTAATACGAAGCCCAAATCTCTGTGACCTGACTCGACCCAAACTATCAAACTTTACAACCTGAAATTGCCCACGCTCTCTTTTTACCATTTCTTCTTAGAGCAAGCTGATCCAGACGGCCTGAAGCTTAAATTAAAACTCATTACAATAAATCAGATGAACCCACATCCTGCAGCACACGGGAAAAGCCCATGTTGTCTTAAAATGCAGTGTTTATTATAACAATCT